ACTCTTAATGCTGGAGTACCTTTCATTTCGTTTAAAGAAGCGATTGAAAGAGGTTCGTAAGTTGGCCTCGCCGGAATCTGTAGGGGGATTACCTTGGAGTTGTTGTTGTAGATTTGCGAGAATAGGTCCTCGGCGCACGCCCCTTTCTGAGATTTCATCCGTCATGTGATAGCAGAACACTATGCTTAAGGATAATTCACCTAAATACGAATACAAGAAAGTCGAACGGTTTCAAACGTACCTACTTCAGATAGTCCAATTTGGCCCAATTAATTAAGCCTCTCATCTTTTGGTTTTTGCTGAAAAGTTAAGTGGCTGTAGATGACATGTGAAGTGGCTGCAAATGAAGCGTGAAACGGGTGCAATTGTGACCGAAGAGCCGCATCCTCCCCTAAAACACTTGAGTCCTAGATCCTGCAATGTTACCGCATGTGATTGCGTTCCCTTGCACGAGTGCTTTGTGAATGCATTGCTCTTGAAATGAGTGTGATGCGAGAATAAAAACCGGATTCGAGCCGAATTAAGCCTCTTGCTCGTTGGTACTTCTCGAGCCCCGCTCTCTCTCACCCTATCCAACAGCCACAATTAGTTTCCACGTAATTTCCTACACTCATTCCTCCTATTCAGTATTAGCTGTTTTGTTGATTTTAATCGCCTCCCTAATATTTTACTTACTGGTTGATATAGTCCCCATATTCAGCAAATCTTTAGGCATTAGAGCAGTCTATCTGGTGTCCACTGCGAGCCGTATGTTCGGCCAATTTCGATTTTTGGACCCAAAAGCCTTTGTAGGCTGTTTTGGTTTTAGATGACCTCTTATGTATTGGCCCACAGGTCTGTCCCACATGGTGCTATCGCATGAGCACAACATCTTGTAGTAGCCCGATCTGGAGAGAGGGCCAGAATATTCTAAAAAGACGGCAAAACTCTGAAAGTGTTATTTCCTATTTATAAATGGTCCTGGTGTCTCACCTCAGTAATTGCCTATCTTCTTCGACAGATTAAACGATGGCGAGATAAAGACTGTTAGAGTTGGCTAACCTTTTATATGGCCCCAAATACGTATTTCCCTCCATTCTATTCGACGATATTCTAAAATACTTTTCAATTAGCCCTCGTGGATAATTATTCTCAACCAGAATTCTCCTTAGTTTTCTCAATTCCTGGTCCCGATGTTGAACATCTGTCAGACCCAGACTCCTTATTATCATAGACTTCAGAACTCCTACCTTAATCCCTTAAGCGTGGCTGGAAAAAAATTCAAAAGGAAACCTGCATTTGTGGGTTTCATATACCCATCTCTACATAATTTGGTTCCCTCTTTGCTTACTAGGACGTCTAGAAGAGGTAAACTACCTCCCTTTTCTAACTGGATGGTGAATTTCGTCTCCCTAGGTCCTATTTGTCACACTGGCAAACAACAAATTAGTCTTCCATATAGCGAACTAATAATGTAACGACTAAAAGTGCCTCCTA